AGCAATGGCGACGTCGAACGGTGCACACTCGGTAAGTAATCCTACAATTTTTTGTTTTCAGCGTATACGGATACCGTATAGCGTATTGTTTATAGTTTATACGGATTATTTCCAAAAAAATTATACATATTTTGGAAATGTTGAGTCGAATTAGTCTAGAATCGATTAATTTTATGGAAGAAAACCTTTCAAACAGCCGTAGTCCGAAACGTTACACGTGTCGGGCTGTGATTGGCAAGGACTCGTACAAAATTGATTCATAGAAAACGGAACGTATCTACCATGTTATAGGTGGGGTCGACTGTATGTCTTTTTCAAATTACTGTGATTATTACTGCTCATAACAGAGGCATGGGTATAAAATGACTGAGTGCATACACGTCCCAAGTGGAAAGAACAATGGTTGAAAACGATGCTACGTTACCACTTCTGTTTTGTTTCCTTAGTTGGGGTTATAGAGGTATGCTGAATGTGACTGATAGCGTTATAAATTTAATAAATAATAAAGAAAAAAATTTGAAACAGTAAATCTCAGTTTTTCCTGGAATTCTTTCTTCTTATAACAGTAGCTTTTGGTATAATGAACAGAGATCTTTTTTCCTTTAATAATACTAAATTCCAGAGCAATGTAAACTAAATATTATGAGTAATACAGCTATATAGCTTGTATTTCGTAGCTACTGAACATATATCTGATGCTTCCACACATGTCATTTTGTTCTATCATAATCATTGATAGAAACAATAGAAAAATGAGCCAGAAAAATACTTCAATTATGCATATCTTACTGTGAAAGACCGAAATTAGAGAATGTCGATATTTTCCGGCAAATGTGGGCACATACAAAATACGTCGGTGAAAAACTGAATATTTGGTTATGTTATTATACATTCGAACAATCGCTGGTGTACGTCCACAAGCACAGAAAGCTATGGTGAAGGTCAAAGAAATTGTTAATACTTTTGAAGAAAATTTGAGCAGTGGCCATAACGAATACCATATTCCAAAGGAAAATATTAAAGAGGAGCTACAATTTACCACGTCTTTATATCAAGCCCTGACAGTAATGAACTTATTTCTATAAAAAGATAGGCCGCGAAAGAGAATCTTCTACTGCAGGCAACGAAAATGTTACGAACCTCAAAAGAACGTTTCCGTCTGCTCAAATTAATGCTACCGTATGAATATAAGTCCCTGATGTCGACCGTGGCCTTACAGATGGCCTAAATGTGTTGGCAGTTGTTGTAGAAATAGAAGACTCTGACTTTTAGAAATTAGCAAACAAAAATAATACCCTCAAGCAGCTTTAAACTCGTAATCAGTTCGTAATTTGTAAAGAAAAGTTACTATCGATAGATGAGATTTCTTCTCAAGAAATATCGCCGAGAAAAGCAGCTGTAACTAATTATAAAAGTGGAGAGCAAAGCTATGCACGCTGTCATCGCAAAAGAAGTGTTCCACGAATAAATGCAATTGTAAAAGCAAGGGACTATTGTGCAATTCAAAGTGCCATAATAGTTTAAGTTGTTGCAATAAATAAGATTGTATAACGTTAATCACATAATTTATGTGTAGGTTTATTATTGTATTATTTTCTTTAATGATTTAGAATGTACTGTCCGTTTTAGGTTTAACAGTTTATTTACATGCGCTGTTACTTAAGCTTTCTCCTATTTCGACATATTAAAAAATCGCAATTTTGTCTTAACGTAACAAAAATATTTTTATTCAACATTTACCATCCATGCATGCTGAATGTCGACATTTGCCAGTGTAAGTGAGAAATAATGATATTTAGCAAATACAGTAGAACCTCGAAAACTCGGCTCTCGATAACCCGGCACTCCGGATAACTCGGGCACATCCTGGCAGAGCAAAAAAATCCTTAGTTAATTAATTTTCATTATAGACAGCTTTATAAAAGTATAAAAGCTCTCATAAAGTATTTTTCTGAGGTCTGTCTTATCAGGTAAATTACTGTACACAGTGTATTCGTTAATTTTCATTTTCATGTAGTAAAGGCTCTATGCCTTCATAAAGGACGTACTTTTCCTTTGTTTAAGGGTATTCGGGCAGTTTATTCTCTGTTATATTCTGAAGTAACCAATACATACAAGTACAGTACAGTATTTTCTGAGGAAACACTCGCACTTATTTTTTTTAACCCCATTTCCGATAACCCGGCATTTTCACAAACTCGGCCACTCTTCGGTCCACATTAGGCCGAGTTTCCGAGGTTCTACTGTATTTCGTACATACACGAAACGACTGTAAATGCTGACATTCACAGAAGAATGTTGACATTTGCCACATATCGATCATTTACAGTAACATATATAAACAGAACATTATAGTATAATTCAATTATTTTTTTATGCAGCACAGTGCAGGAACCTTATCAAATTTAAAGTAAACACTTTGATTAGAGATGACTAGATTACAGTCGTTTCAAGTTGAAAGACCGACAATGAATGTAACTAATTAGTCCTTTCTGCAATTCTTTAGTATTGATCGTAAAAAAAGTAAAATTTTTCAAATTTGTAATACCATTATTTTTCATAAGCTTTCGGCCTAGCGTAAAACGAAAATTCCCAAATAATATTCGCGTTTTATTACGTGACTATAGGCTGGCTATTTGGGTTTTTCAAAACTTCTTTACGTGTGCAACACTAAATGTCGGTCTGTCGTAAAAAATTTTTCAATGACAGCAGATCGCCCATGTGCTGTGTTGTCTCATCCTATCAATCATAGGGGTAGCAAGTTATAAATATCTAACATCTAGATAAATTGTCGATAATGCCAGTTTTATATTTCTAATAATTTTTTAACGTATATTGCTTCCTGTTTAGATGTTGTTATAGTGACATACAACACAACTTTGTAGAATTTAATATTATTCGTTTCTTGAATGTTAGCTATTGAAGTTTAGTTATAATATTTAGTGGAAATTCATTCGCAATATGAAACATTTTACCGAATTTATATTATTTACTATTTATTGCTTAATGTTTTCATTAACGTTGTTTCAAGGTTTTTAAGACTAACACAGTATATTTATGTTTTGTGTTTAAAAAACAATCTGATACTTTACATGAAACCAGCACTGTAAGATTATCAGATTGATTTAAGAGTGTGCAAATTAATATATAGAAGGCAGCTTGCAATGGTACAAAATGTACAGTACAGCAATATCTGCGTCAATTTGGCTCTCTTATAACTTATCATTTAGAATAAATACTAGAAAATTCTGTAATCTTGTATTTTTGTCAATTCGTCTCAATGCTCATTCATGAGTGAAAAATAAACGAATTTCTATTCTATTTTAATTAATAAAGTGTGCTTTTCACCTATATTAAGTTAAACAGATTGTATGAGCATTGCAGTAATGTCATTCGTTATTTTTATCTGTCATAGAAAGGTATCTTTGATATAAATTTAATACCATACTCTACAAAGATTATTGCAGATAGTTACGTAGTCCCATCTTAATTTTTTTATTCTATAATTTATATAAAATATGTTGGATAATATATATAAAATTTCACTAAAATTACTAACATTTGGTAAATTAATTTACCTAGTGTGGATGGAGAAAGTGTTTTAGATAAACACTTTCTCCATCGAATAACAGAAACTAGATTATTTGCAAATAAATATTATTACACAAGGTAATCTTTATAACATAAAATATATATAAAAATGATATTTTAAATCACATTTAATAGTTATCCGAAATTTAAATACAACACTTCTTTATGCAAATTACGTTAAATAACCGACATATGTGTGTGGTTGTAGGTGATGGAAGACAAATAAAATTATTCCTATCAATCCAAAGAAATTGAAAGTGAAAATACAACTGGTTTTATCTTGTAAGAATTCCTTGATATTTTAATATTAGAATATCTTTTATAATTAAAACTTTGTATTGTTTTAAGTAAAATCAAAATTATTAAATGAAAAGTATCTTAGTTGGAGAAAGCCTAAATTTTTTATTACTTGATTCGATATTAAATTTTGATTCAATATAAATTTTGTTAACGTGGATATATTATTTACAATTCTAATTTCTAAATTTGAATGGATGTAGTTAGACGCAAGGCCTGATCAGAATTGTTATTTTGAGTTTATTATTGACCACTTTTGGCTCCATTGATACAATAATGTGAACAATTGCAGTTAAAACCTTATATTTTTCATTAAATGAGCAATAAATTAAATGATTTCATTGCATGCTAAAGTAATCTAGTAATTTTGATTAATGAAGAATTCTTTGTATGAAGTGTTACACGAATATCTATAAACTAAACTTAGAAATGTAAATAAATTACAGGGTGGTCGTTATAAAGCAATGGTACTGAGGGAACTTTGTAGCCTCAACAAATAAGCCAACATATGTAAATATGCAAATTTAGTTTTCAAAATTGTTTTTTTACATTACAAACGGCGCTGCAAAAAAAAACTGTGAAACAACGTAGATTTAAGAAGGATTTTTCTATTTTAGTAATTCTGGTAAGAATCGAAATGGCAGCAGTTTGAGAGTTTATAGGGTAAACACAAAGAAAGTTTTTCATGTAAAAATAAAATAACATTATTACTTTTACTTATTTTATAAGTTTATTTTCATCATATTAATATACACATCTTGGAGATTTTTTGGCTTAAACATTAAAGGTAACATGTTTTAAATTCTCCTGTTTTCCTCTTCACAATAACAAACTCTCTGTGATAAAGTGATTTTTGTCTCACTTTGTACTACAACATGATATGCGCTTACTTTGAAATTCAGTTTTATACACAAATGTTAAAATCCACATATTAAATAGTTCAGTGTTATGTTTATACTTGAAAAATATATTTTGATGTAAAAAATTGTCAGCCTTATAAATTGTATACTGAAACATGTAAATTACTATCAGTATATGTAGTTATTAACTGTAATTTAAGGAAAAATTGCAATATAAATGAATTGCTTTAAAATGCAGTATTTCTTTTGTAGGTGTTGATAGACATAAATAGTACAATGACCTACAAATGTAAAATGTGCGATAAGTCTCTCGCTAATAAACAGAGTTTAACTTGTCATATTAGAATCCATACAGGAGAGAGACCCTACAGATGTGAAACATGTACTAAATGTTTTGCTCATTTGAGCACTTTTAATTATCATCTCAGAACCCACTCGGGAGAAAAACCATACGAGTGTAATACATGCAATAAATGTTTTTCTCTTAAGTACAGCTTGAATCTTCATTTGAGAATCCACAAGAAAGAAAAACCCTACGAGTGTAATACATGTAATAAAAGTTTTCCTCGTAAGTACAGCTTGAATCGTCATCTGAGAATCCACAAGAAAGAAAAACCCTAAGAGTAAAGAATATGTGTTAAACGTTTCGTGAACTCATCGTGTTAAACTCATCATCATAGTTTGTATTTAATTCAGAATCTTTCTACTCATTCTGAATGTAAACTATTCATTTGTCTCGTGTGTAATAGTCAATTTCAAAGTGAAGCTCATCTGGATGGTCATCGTATAATGCACAATCTATACCCATTTAATTGCATTATTTTTTTAAGCGTTCTGCAGCCACAAGGCTTTCGAAGAACACAAAAATGTACACAATTCATTAGTCAATTCGTCTTACCATTGCAATATATACGTTGTAACATTTGCTTGAGAAGATAATTATGAAGTTCATCTTGAATATAATATAAATTTTGTTTAAAAAATTTTAATTGAAGGTATGCCAACGAAAAGTTTATTGACAATTTTTAAGTATTTTAAAGTGATTTTAAAATAAAGTTTATTGTGGAGATAATTAATTTCTTGTTTTTATTATTATTTAATACATTTAAATTAAATTCAGTTATAGATTAAAATAGTTTTTCATTAATTAGATAACATTTTTAGTTCGATATCTTAAAATAAACTATTGAAAATTTCCAAAATTTCGCAACCATGATTCATTGTTAGGCGGATTAACACTGTGAAATTTTGGTGATTAAAGGCTGAAGGAATGACAAAATAAATAGGATCCTGTTTCGTATCTCTAGTACGCTCAGATTAAGGATAATTTTGCTCATTAGCATTATCAATCTTTATAAAACCCATTTTTACTAGTATTTCTTTTACTTTTCCTATTTTATAATACTTACTAAATACAAAAGTTCTTTTAATTTAATAAAATATAATAACAGATGGAGCAACAGAAAGTTTCCAGAAAAGCTAAGCATCTTGCTGTTAGATTTTTTTAATTTAAAAATAAAAATATGTATTTAACTTCCAGATGAATTGCTACATAGAACGATTTGGAAAAATTCCATTAGGAATGTCTGTTGGTGGTTTCTTCTATATAAAAGAAGATTTCTTCATCAAGGTTAGTACAGATTATCACATATTTTAAAAACTAATGTTGTGATTGCAAGTTCGGCACTTTTTCGATGCTTTGTCAGGCCTTTAAGTGACACCAAAGTGTCTTTTAGGACACGAAAATTTCGATGACCGTTACGTCAGGTTTCGCGCGAGCAATCGCGCTTTAGGCTTTCGAGGTCAGAATGGAGGCAGATGGAAATGACCGGTTGAAGTACACTTTACAAATTAACATTTAACAAAAATACCCGTTAATTGATATATATTATCTACAAGTTTTACGATAATTTAAAAGTTATCAAGTTTACAAGTTCTACTNATTGAAGTATTTTAGTATATCTTGAAAACATTTGTTAGTATTCGAGTAATTAAAAGTGTTTAGTAACTGGTCTTAGAAAATTGTAAATGGAGTGCACTTATAGAATTCAATAAATACTGAAATGAGATTTGTTTTGCTTGATGTTTTGATTATTTACTAAACACCAACACTAAATAATAAATAAGAAGGAAATATAAGAAGAGTTTAGTAACTAGTCATAGAAAATTGTAAATGGTTTGCACTTATAAAATTGAATAAACACTGAAATGAGATTTGTTTTGCTTGATGTTTTGATTATTTACTAAACACCAACACTAAATAATAAATAAGAAGGAAATATAAGAAGAAATAATAAATAAGGAGTAAATAAAAAAATTATCAGACTGAAAATTTAACAATTTGTTCTAAACACAGATGCCTTCTGTGTTTACTTTTTTTTTGTAAAACAAACATTACGTTCATAAAGCTGTAATTTGTTTTTATCTCGTTACTTCAAGTGATTGATCTACTATTTCTTTCTTTATAACTTTTTAGCAGTTTTACTCTTAGCTGCATAGATTCTTTCTTTTTCTTTTTCCTTTGATTTCTTTTATTCAATTCGGCTTTGTATGAGTAGACGTTAAAATTTCACTTTTCTGTCCCAACTTCGTCCTGATATAAATTTTATATTTTAATCGCTAGAAAGTGCTAATTTCGTCTCTAAAATATATTGAGATTTTGTTACTTTGGAAAAGTTTTAAAAAGAGAAAAAGTTGTATCATTTTCAAGACTGCACGAACTTTTTCCATCTGCTCATCTGCTACTGTTTTGAAAAGTCATCAATGCGGTGGTTGATCTATATTGTTCTGCAAAACAAAAACATTTCGTAAAAATATAATTCCTATCAAACTTAAACCGATTCCAATACAATCCAAACATCGTAGTTCAAAACATTGATTACAACATACGTAACAGTAAGCTTTAGGAGATTTACGGCCTACAACGTAAACGTCAACAAATGTTGTTTTCAACAATTAACAAAAAACTTATACTCACTTTCAGTCAAGCTATGACAACGATGTGTCACCTTCGTTAACTTATAGAAGAATCATAATAGAAAAATTTATGTTTTAAGATCGACATCTTCGGTTCAGGCATCGAATTGAACATCGATTTTGATCTCGCCCGTGATGTAAGCTGATAACTCATTACACTTAGTTCTGGACAACCTCTTAGAAAGCTAATACGAGATAAAGCGATCAATCGGAATGAGCGAGTAAAAATAGAAATTAATAAAATTCGTCTCTGTCTCCCGTTCTCGGATCAACATTTTACCTGAAGTCGACTTTATCGTCCCGGAGTTCGGGACGTTGAAGGAACTCTCATTTTCATATCAAAGACAATCCTTTTGTGACTGTCTTGGAAAGAAGAGGCAGACTCAGAGACCTTCTCCGACTTTGAACTTACGAGATCGCTGAAATCTTGTAAGCTTTCTTCGTGTCAAATAAACAGTTAGTTGTAACCGTTGAGTCTGTCTCGGTACCGATTGCATCCACGTACGACTCTTTAAGACCCTCGTCAGTCTTGACCATCGCGTCCCCGACGGAGACTTTACAACACCACTCTTGGATATGAAACTTACAAATGCTTATAAGCTAAACACTAAATTTTCAGATGCCCATTTATTGAAATCGCTTGAGAAGTAGGTCCTATTATTTAGACACGGAAAATTTAGTGTTTATCTATGAGCGTATTCAAAATCTCTGCGAGCAGCTATCACCTCTCAGCACCTCTGTTCAAAATCTTCCATTGCTTCCAGTTGCTGCCAGCGTGCTTCCAGAAAACTGTAAGTGTTTTTTTCGACGCTGGATAAGCTAGGAAACATAATGGCAGCACTCTAAGGCTCTGAAGAGCTCTATTATCTGTTGAAAATTTTGATTTTATTTATCGATGAATAAGCCACGAATAACTTATTATTCGGTTAGTACTTTAATAGAACATTTTAATATACTTGTATATTTATTTTTTACCTAACACATCACATAATTTTTTTAGTCGTAAAAGTGTAATAGTGTATTAGGATTTATTTAGTTATTTAAAACACCTACAGAAATTTAAAATATCTTTATATCTATTTTCGTTTTCGAAATTTTTATTTTTCATTAATCTGTTCTAATTAAAGAAGTTCAAAAATTATTTAACGTAATGTGGAAGTCCACATCATTTGCCATTTTTACTCTTCCGAAATTCCCCGCAGTTAGCGTTTGTGTTGTCTAGAAAACTCCAGCAGTCGCGTTACTTCCGGCAGCAGCTTGCTGCACTGATGCTGTGATTTTGAATACACCTTATGCATCTTCGTACTGTACTGTACATCCCAACCACTATTCATTTCTTTTCAGATTAGATTTCGAATAATTACGTTTTCCGTAAAAAGTAACAGTTGAATCTATCCTTCGTTCAATTAATTTTTTTTTTCGCTTTCATATCTCAACGCCTAGTAAAATGACACCTTACATTTCTCTCTTCCATTTTATCACCGAAACTCACGTTGCAGAGAACTCGAGTTATTTGAAAGTTCCCGACTGTTTGACGTAAGAGTATACTCCCGAAATCAGATCAGTGATATTTTTCGTAAATAGTAAATCCAGTTACGTTGAGCCTCGTAAATTGCAGCTACGATACGTCGTGAATTTTTCGTATTCAACTACGTCACGAAAATACGACGTTGTAACTACGACACATTAGTAAATCTGGATCCAAGCGCGTATCCACAAAATGTATAGTGTGTATCGTAAATTCTGAAACATTTTGAGTTATCCTTAATACAGTAATTAACTTTTAATTTGGGAAAGAGTTATCTCTTTCCCGCCCTAGTAAATATTTTGAATATAAAATTTATTGCAAATAAAATTCCATAGAAGTCTCAACGTAAAATATAAAGTACTGTACCGAATAAAGTATGTTCAAGTCGAAAATGGAAAGTCGTATCCAACGGTGTATCCAAATTACATGATGAATTTCACTTTAAAATCAAATTCAGTTCAGATTCGCAATTATAGCTGTAGTCCTTTTGATGTCTTTTCTTTAATTATTTGTTTTCAGGATGCATGTTTTTAAAGTTATTTAAATAGATTGATTAAAATACATTATCTTATATACCACGTATATAGAATCGAATTTACGTCTATCTTTTCGAGTATTACATGGAATCGACTAAACTGATTTCTATACAGTTCTATTATGGACAGTTAGTACATCGAAAATGTCACGGTTTCTAATTTAACTGGACTATAATAAATGAGATCGATTATTAGACGTAATGAGACGATGATGAGACATTTATTTTTACAGTGAAAATTACAGTGGTACCTCAGGTTACGAACGCCCCAGCATACGAAATTTTCAGGATACGACATTAAATTCGAACATATTTTTGCTCCACGATACGAACAAAAACTCACCATACGACGTTACATTAGTTCGCATTTTTCATTTGTTTTTCTTACTACAGTTATTTTTTTAATATATTACTTGGCTTTAATTTGAGTATGTTTTTCGCGCTGGAACGAATTATTTGGTTTTACATGTAATCGTATGGGAAAAGATGATCCATCTTACGACATTTTCATGATACGACCTCAGTTTCGGAACGGATTAATTTCGTATCCTGAGGTACCACTGTACAATTAATTTTGATATGATAATGATGAATCATTTGTTACACATGCGAATGCCTGAAGCTGTGATAAATAAGATCGATTATTATTACTAATAAAACTGAAAATACGTGTAATCAGATCGCATATTTTAAGTGTTTGGTAATTGTTAAAGAATTAAAACATCAAGAAAAACAAAAACTATATTTAAGTATTTATTCAATTTTATAAGTGCATTCCATCTACATTTATCTATGACTACTTCGTAAACAGTGTGAATACTTCGAATACTCATAAATGTTTTCAAGACATACTACAATATTTTATTTTACTTTAATTAAATTTGCGTTATAATAATCATAATATATGGTGATTTAAAAGTAAATTTTGACCGATACACGTTTTTATACAAGTATTTAGAATAACATTTAGCATTGAGTGAAGTAACAACGTACATAAATTTTGTGTTTATG